ACGCACACATGGACACACAGACACACAGGCACACACAGGCAATCGCTCGTCATTATGCGTTTTCTGCGTTGCATAGCTGTAAAAAGCGCATAAAAACTTATTAAGATTTCACTGTGTGTATGAGTAAGATTGCGCCTGGAATTATAGCTGCAAGCTTGCAAATAGTCAAGAGTCCAATTCTCCCAGTGAGGCACCCATTTCCTCTGCTATTCGTTTATTTGTTTCGAAGAATTGAATTGGTACTGGTATACACCAGATAGTCAAAACTGCTATCAGCTTGCTAGTAAGCAACGGTCGAAAGAAGAAACGATGGACAGTTTAGCCAAGAGATAGTTATTACTCGGGTTATTTCCGTACCTGCAGAGACAGTCCAGTCCCAGATCACGGAAGTCGGAGTGCTTTCGGCCTGTTTTTGCGTGCTGGAGATGATTCTGACGGGCATCACTTTTTCTGACTGCTTTTGCTCAGGGTCTTTAACTAGCATAACTGACTTTTGATTTTTGCTCTAGCACTTCTATTTTTTTGACGCGAGCAAATTCTATTTCAGTACTGGAAAGTCGCCATTAGCGAAGCTCGACGCCGCAGTTGACTTTGCCTGCGCTTCTTGCAAACTTAAACCTTCATAAAATTTGACAATAAAAACTGAAGCATAAAAAAAAAACTTCAACTCTCAACAAAACTAATTTTGCTTTTAAAATAATGTTGGATATATTTAAAATTTCGATTGTTTAATCGCGATTACTTTTATTTCGATAATTACAGTCAAAATCACTCAGTTGCCCGGAACAAAGTGGCTCGTGGTGCCAAAAGTGACCATAAACTGAGCAAAGCTATGGTAGTCTACGCTTCAACTTGCGAGTAAAATATTTTATTTTCCGACAATTTTTAGTACATAGGGCAGTAATATTCAGCAACAACGACCCTTCATGAGGAAAAACATGCTTCTTTTCAGTCAAAACGGCGCAGTTCAATGTTTGTTCGGCGCGGTTCGGTCACAATGGAACCGCTCAAACGAATTGTACTGGACGAAGTTTACGAAGTTTACAAGCAGGTATTTATTATTCTTTTCCAGACAACAAAAACTGAAGTGTGACTGCAAGCAGCTATCTAGCTTTCTGTAACCACTGCCTGGGTAATTATTATGCTTTAAGGACTATTGGGGGTGTTCTAAAGTGAAGTTTGAGTTACAGTTTGCTTCTGGAATGGAAGCTGCTGAGTTGCTGGTGAAATTAGCTCCTGGTAGAATTTCAGACATTTGGCCTCCAGAATAATGTTTTAGGCACGAATGCAATCAGAATGAGGCATGCACGACCAATTAATTGACAGCTGGTTTAGAAATCCAGTTATTTATATGGTAAAGTCAAAAGAAGAGGCAGTTTGACTGTCAAGCAGGAATTGCCTAAGCCATTTGGAAATCACCCGATATCCTTGATCGGCTCCATTATTCCTCAAACTAGTCACTAATGTCCGGCTGAGGCTTTTTCCTTGATGCGGTTTTTTAAAACTAACCGTTGTAATGCAGGGTCGTCTCCTTACACAGTAACACTAAATGCCACATTCAGCTGATTATGACGACTGTAGAATGTAACTTTAATCACTGCATTTCAATCAGTTTGATTACAGCTTGGTACCGGTCGATTTGGCTATATCAAATTAGCGGAACACAAAGAATCGAAACACAATATTGCGATTAAATTCTTTCCACGACCGCAAATAAAACAGGTGGTCCCTTTTTGCATCCCCTCAAAATAACTGCATTTTGAGCGGATCGTGCATGTTTTTAAGTCCATCATTCTATAAGTTTCTCGTTCGTACATCCACGTAATCATTTTTCCTCAGCATTGAATTGATTGTGGTGCAACTGATCCGCTTGATCCAGGTATCTGCGTTTTCTATTTTAATTCAATATGTCTATGTTTGCAAAGTTGTTTTTTTTTCCTTCCTTTTCAGTAGTGCACATCAGTTTCTTGTCTTTGAAATTCTCTCCACTCGTTAGTGGGCTCATCTATTACCGCCGCTTCACTGTGTTTCAGGTTCACCGAATTCATCCCGACAGTTTACGAAGACTGATTAGTTATTTGCCTGCATGCATCATTGAATTTTTTGGCTCGCTTCCAAACAGATTGTTTAGCTATTTATGCGTAAAGTTTTGAGGAAAAAAAGGACCCAGGCTGGAACGCACCAGCGGGCCCGTGCGATCATGCGTTTTCGCTCCGGACTTGAAGTACTCAGGTCATTAACTGCATCAATTGTTGTTGCTTTACATCTACCTTTTGCGGTCACTAGCATAAATCACCATAAATTTTACAAAGTAAATGTATAATTTCCATTTAACAGTCGTTCTTTAAAAGTAACCTAGTTGTTTAATGTGAAATTTTTTCGTCAAGACTTTTAAGTGCCTGCACTTAAGAACCACGCATACCTCAAGGCTGATTTTGAAATACTTAAGTTGTACTTGGACA